TGACATACCATGCGGAAAAATTCACATCGATGTTTGAAAGTACATATGCATGCAAACAATAATTTTCGGAAATGAACATTACTGAGAACTCGGATCAGTGGTCCCCATTTATTAAATGTTTTAATCTTGGCTTCATCCAGTGTCTCATTTAGAAAATGTTTCCCATTAAGTGATGTCGAGCATGATGCAACAAAAGGTGTCACCTTAAATGTCATTTGTGATTTTTTTTCTTCAAGTAAGACGACTAATTTGAGTTCACGAGTCGCGCAGTCTTCGAGCGCTACTCTGATCCGTGTGAATAATTGTGATTCATCGGTCATCCGTTCGGTTTTTACCCCCCAAAAATTTATGCGGCCCGCCAAGACTTGCAACCATTAATTTTGACCCACGAGCGACAAAAGGTGAGCAGCAGTAATGACTGACTGCCCTCTTCCGTCAGTATGCTCGTCTGCTCATTGTGTGATTTAGCGCAGTCGATAACGCTTTAAACAGGTGTCACGCGCGCCTATTTGCTTTTCTGTTCGTTGCAGCAATTTACATTAGTTTCTCTCTTAAAATGTTGGCGCCCTATTTTGTTATCTGTTCAGAAATTTACAAAACGCTCTCAAGATCCCAAGCAAGAATTATTTCAGGCATGTAGTAATTTTGATGACCCCGATAGAATTATTGAACTGTAATCTGAAGACATTATTAAGAAGGCAGTCAGATCGGGATCAGAATTGGTGAGAAGTGGAATGTACCCTTCTCATGAGCCAGGCCAATATTATATCTATTATATATTATATATATAATTATATCTGGAGAGAGTGTGAAAGAAGATGGTTTATCAGAAATGGAAAGAATAATGAATGAAATCGTAAACATACTAAAGACCGCACTTTCAGAACGCTCAGGGTACTTTCGTAGGCTCGCTTACAAGTTTTCCTATTTAGTAAAGATGGACTCAATTGATGTTGAAAAGATTGAAAGAAAACCTTGAAACGACAGAATTTTTCAGCCATTCTGAGACTGATGTAAACTCATCTTTCCTCTATACGAAAAAATCGTTGATTGCTCTATGCTTTTCCAAAGTGGTTATAGAGTTTTTTCAAAAAAATGCAGAAGATTTTCTTGCTTTATTAGTTAAGCTTGACTGGGATGGTTTTCCAACTTTGTGCATAGCATATCGTTGTTACGTTGTTATATCGCCTTGTTACATTGTTTGTCAAGTAATAATTCTGACATACAGGGCCGAATCATGCCTTTCAGGGACCCTAGCACTTTACGTTATATATATATATATATATAATGAAATCAGTGCTCCATGTTATCTGAAAATGAATAATTAGTTTCAGTATGGATATTTCCCAGAGTATCGATATCTTTGTTTATTTCCTTAACAATGACCAATCAGCTATTGTTATTTGTGTAATCACTCTTTAGGGCCGGATTTAAGTGCCATTTGTGTGGCCCATTTTTTAACAATGACGTCACAATAATCCATTACAGTGTAATAACAGACATTTAACGGATATGTAAAACTGTGATATGACGTCATGAACAAAATTTCAAATTGCGTGAAATACAAAATTTTTACTACAGGTAACATACGCACGCTAACGTAACCACCCAAGTAAATTGGATAGTAAGTTGAATTTAAAAACATTTTAACAAACTCAAGCTGTGATAAAATTTCATGGCACCAGAAATCAGACGTCAAAATACCCCTTTATAGTCGCGAGAGGAGGGAAGACATGACTCATAAATACAATTTGATACTGATAAAATAAAATAAGCTTTGCATATTTTAAAACAAACGAGTCTATACGATAAAAGTGTCAGAAATATAATAATGATTAAATTTGTTGTTACTGAGATAAATTAGTATATATACTGTAGCTATATATTAGGGCTGGGAATGGGTAACCGGTTAATCGGTCAACCGATTTTAGATGGTTAACGGTTAGGATTTATTTTAACCGTAACTGACATCTCGGGTACAATAATCGTTATAATGTACAAGTCCTTCAAAAATGATTACGTAATAACAGATTTAACTTCTGTGGCGTTTAATTAGAAGAATATCACTAACTGTATTGGTAGGAACTCAATTAATGTAAAAAATAATTGAAGTACCAAGATTGCTGATTATGAAAATGATATATTCAGAATCAGTCTTCGGTTGAAATATATTGTTCAAGATTTTATTGCAAAATCGTATACTCAATGTCTCAAACAAGTGCGCAGTTGATGTTGTTTTTCTTTACGATATGATATCTCAAAGTAGAATTTGCACATCGAACACTAAGAATTTGTCACATGAATGACATTTAATAACGGAATCGGGTTTTACTAAAATACTACCATATGTTGGAACCACGCTGCATATCTCTTGCAGCAGAGCGATCATGAAACTATCTCGAGTTTCTGAGTGATACCGGGATAATATCAAGCGAAATGGCTTTGTAACCATTGTGACGTAAGAAGCTGAAATTATAAGTTATTACGAGAAACGTCACGTCGCGGTTAACCGGTTAATTTTACCCGGTTCACGGTTATATATTTTTTCTCTGAAATTCCCTACCCTGCTATATTTCTATGCTTTCTCGGCTTTATCCAAATATAAAGACATTATTACGTTAAAACTGTTCAAGAGGGGTAGAGTTTTTAAATTTAGACAAATTTTATCTATTCTATAGTATATAATTTTATTGTTTAATTTTTTACCCATTCAAACGATAAATATTTTGGGCAAGGATTATCAATCTGATTAAAAAATTGAACAAATATCAGTTTTACGAAATTTCAAACCGGGCTTATTATGGAACGAGCCTTTACAGTTTAAAAACGATTTGAAAATGATTAATATGTATTTCAAAATGGAATGCCGAAGTCCGTTACATTGACTAATGGTAAATCCGACACTGCCAATCAGACATTTCTTCCGCTCAGACCGATATCCAGGTAGGGGAAGGTGGGACATGGGGCACAGTGGAGAATCACTCTCATATATACTATATCCGGTCTACGGTTCGATGTTTGAATCCGCCAATTGGTGAGTTACAACCCCGCAAACGGAAAACGGCCGTGTAGAGCGACGCAAGCTTTGAGGTGAAATTGGTTTTGGGAGGTTTAAGCTGATATTTCACCATTCCATTTTTTTTCTTTTCTTCACTTTAGCCTTCCCAACATGACAAATCACCGCCTAACATTTTTAAGCTTTAGTCCACTGTAAAATATTTATAACGTTGGCGAGTGGATGTGCGTTCCTAATCTTTCCGTGGGACAGACTGAAAATATTTGTTTCCTATGGGGAACAATGGATCGGGGTTCAGTGGGACATGCTCCGCTGGGCACAATTCGACAGTGTTCGACCCGTCAAGTGCTTACAGGCCTTATGTTTTGTGTAATATTAGAATATCTTTTGGCCCATGGCCAAATAAGGAATCTATTGGAGAATCGAAAATATTTTTAGATTCAGATTCGGAATTATTTGAATTTGCTTAGGTCATTTTTTGAAAACAACTAAAATACTTTGGTTGAACATTGATTTCTGAAATCCCTCCGTTAGATGATAATGCTGATTCTTTGCTTATTTTTAAGGGCATACTTGGTTTTAACAGAATGCCCCATTGTGTTCCAAGGTCTGTCCGAATGTGCCCGACAAGTGAGGTACAGTGGGACACTGGACGAACGTCTTTCAAAGCATTTTGGTAGTAAGATGTGTGTCGCAAAAGAATTTCTTAGTCGATGAATAAAAACTACATTCACCCTTCTCTGCATTAATCCCCTAATCCCACGAAGTGAAAGGAATGTGCAGAATAAACGGCTCAAAATAGGCGAAGGAAAAAAGTGTCCCAACCTTCCCCTATCTATCGATGTACGCATTGCTTCGTTTTAGTGGTTTTGTCAGCTGTCAAACTTGTACGCATTTAGCGTACCAGTTTGTAAGCGTCAACTCTATCAAAATAAGCATCAAAATTTTCGCATTAGTAAAGTATACGCAGAAGTTTTTCGGGGTCACGGGTCGGTGAAAAGTCCATTTAGTACTAATTGAAGACCTATTATAAATGATACTTTTGGTTTGGAAATAGCCCTAACGCTTTCAAACATTTACAGAGAGGATCAAGATGATATTTGAGAAAAATTTATTCCAACATGTTCAAAATTGAGGTCCGAATCGTCTGACCAACTCAAATTATTTTAATAGACAGAGGCGCCACTCAAGATTTGTCTGCGGAAATTTCTGTAGAGCCCCCTTTTGCTTGGGGACCTAAGCACGTGCTTGGTAATCCAGCCCTGTTCGAATGTCGAAAATCCGGTCCGCAAACCATTTTGAGGTACCACGGTGCACGATACCTAGAATTATGTCCTCATCAGCACGGTGTGGATTAGGTTCTAAACAGCGTAAATTCGCCAAAATATACATTTGCAAGAGCGAATTTCCTACAATAGGAGTTCCCATCTCAGTCGCCAAATGACGTAAATTACAGCTGGATGATAGATAAACTACTTGAAATTCGTTACCGTGTTTACATCTACAATACGTACATTGAGAAAGTCAGCCAATCCAATCTGAAAACGTTGAAACCACCATATATGGTTTTTAATTGATTTCGTACGTGTTGCATTGAGAATGAATTTTGGCCTGTGATCCAACAACTTCGCCTATCCCTGTTCAAAACACATCACTAGAACTAGACAGCTCACAATGAAACCAAAATACAATTCAAGATCACTCTTCAATTTTCTGAAAGCCACAGCAGTTTTCGAAGGTTCGTTTCTGACTCTCAAAATATTAGTCCACCAAAATTTCTAAACTACTACTATAAATGCTTCAATAATATAAATACTCTATGTATATAGGTATGAAAAATCCACACAACCAAGTATTAAAACGTCAGGTCGCGACCCCCAGGATGGGGACTACCGATCTAGGGTTTAATTCTGAGATATTTCTTTTAAAAACAGGTATGCAAACAGTCTGGAATATTTTAATCCACTCAACCAACACAACGAAGTAGTTTTTGAATGTTTTATTTTTGTCATATGTCAGTAAACAAGAAAAAGTATTTGAAGTGCATCTCCATTGCAATACACTGTTTACTTCTGCAAAACGAAAATATAAAGAAATCATGAGAATGATATAATCGATGACACAATTACAATGATGGAAATATTCACATTATTAGGTACTATGAAATGGATAAAGTGAATGAAACAGTTCAAGGACCATCAGATGAATCATCCCGGCTTCCTTACCCAATTCTCATAGAAAAATCGAAAAAAAAAAACATCCTAAAATGTTTCATGTTGCTGCAATTCAACACTAGATGTAAACTCTTACCATTCTTTATACAGTTGATGAAGTCAAATTTTTTTTGAAAAATAGTTCAGAATGAAATATAGAAACCTTGGGTTGACTAAAAATCTCACAAATTGACATTACCTTCTTTCCTGCTCCAACCTTGGATTTTGCAGTTCCCCGAACTTTCTTTTGTCTGTTTTTCCTTTCCTTTCTCTGTTTACGAGATGGCCGACCAGATGGCTCAGCTAATTTTTGCTAAAATTAGCAATAATTATATTTTTATTAAAGAGTGTTTCTGGTCAACAGAATTGAAATCTTTTTTTTTCGTTAAACTGTCAGATCTCAAAAGTGAAATTAGATGGATGTATGCTGAATTATTCTAAAAACCAAGATTAACTGTATAGAATATAATAAGCAATCTTTATTTGTGGGAATACATGGTTGGGGGTCCATGATTTGCGATGGCTCAGCTAATTTTTGCTAAAATTAGCAATAATTATATTTTTATTAAAGAGTGTTTCTGGTCAACAGAATTGAAATCTTTTTTTTTTCGTTAAACTGTCAGATCTCAAAAGTGAAATTAGATGGATGTATGCTGAATTATTCTAAAAACCAAGATTAACTGTATAGAATATAATAAGCAATCTTTATTTGTGGGAATACATGGTTGGGGGTCCATGATTTGCGATAATGATAATCGTGTAATCCTAAATTTAAGCATATCCTTGAATAATAGATGACTCGATTTAGACATTTTTTAGTTTGGAATTGATTGGGTTTATTTCTATTTAATTTAGAGAAGTTAAAGTGATCCAAGCCATGCCCAATTTACTATTGCTTTTCTCATAGTACTTTCAGCATGACCAAGGCATCCTCAATAGACCTTAGTCATTCAAAACCCATCCTACGTGCGAAAAATGAAAGTGGCATAAACAAACCGATTTTAACATTAGCTCTTATGGGGAATATGATCACCAGAGCAGATATTTGCATTTTTTTAATTTTTTAGTTATCCTTCATTGTGGACTTATGCAGTTTTTTTTATATTTTTTTTGATATTTTTACAATGATAAACGAATTTGAGATTTTTGATATTCGTTCATTGAAATTTTAATGGGCGTGGTGTTTCCGCTGGCGTCTCTCTCACTATACCAGGACATTCTGCCAACGCGTTGTAGTTTGTGAAATATGAGCACAAAATACCAGGTTTGGCGTTGAGTTTAGCTGAAATGGGAGTTTATTCACATTCACGTATACAGTCAGATTCACTTTTCCTTACTGGCTTTGCGCATATCCTACCGGTACAACAAGCGACCTTTCTCAGAAAGCATGCTGACATGTTTTATAACCTAGTTAGTATACCAGTACTGTAATGTCATTGAATTAAAGTAATAGGTTGGAGGTTTTTATCTTTGTTTGTATACAATTCATTCTACCTATTGGCTCACATTTCTGTTAGGTTTTAGTTTTCACCCCCTTGGTATTGTACGGTACCGGTAGTTTGAATAACACGTCGGTATGCCCTCGGTAAATGGTTGCTAACTGTACAGGTATAAATGCATAAATCAGTAAACAAACGTGAATGAAATGGTATAGATCATAGACTGTCAATGTTGAACGTGCCTAGTACCCATTACCCGAGGCTACATTAGCCCAACAGTTGGCAGTTGGCACGCATATTTTTACAGACCACAGCGGTTTGGCAGAATGTCATGGTTTATAGGACAGAGGTGATGAACCTGCGGCCCAAGGAATTTCGCGCGGCCCGCGAAGCATTCAGGCGATTGAATGTATTTTCGGCTTGCAGTCATAAACCTTTAGCGACTGTATCGAGAAAACAGAAGAGACCGTATGATTTATATTACTGGAAATGCTATTTTCAGTACATCTTGTTTTGTTGGATCATCGATACCTTTAACAAAATAACCATTGTCTTAGCATTGAATTTTCGGCACAATCTGCATTCATAGCCCTCAACCTAAAACCATAATTTGATTATTTCTAAGGCAGAGGTGTTTTTTTTTTGTGGCGGGGGCTTTGTACAAAAGAACTCGAAATAATTGTTCGATAAGATTTGAAATACGTTCAAGGGCACCTTCAGAATTACCAAAATGGAAGGGGAGGTGTAAATCGGAAGAAATCTGGAAACTATCACCGCAATTAGACTGGCCATTTGTGGAAAAAGCCCACTTTTTTGACGGATAATTTTTTCCCCGCTATATTGTGTTGTCGGGTAATGATTTTGAAGTTGCGCAAAGTATTCAATTGACGACTAATCAGAGTCTATTTATAATGTCTTGCTTTATTAATTGAAAATTAATGTAACTTGCGGACATCAGGGATGGCCAATTCGAATAAAGTATTCGAATGTATTCGAATATCTCGTCATTCGAATATCGAAATTAGCGTTCATAAGAATATCGGATATTTGTGTGACGTCACACATTTTCGACGCCGCTCTCAAGACGTTTCCGTTGAATGAAAACATTCTCGATAGAAACTTGCGCGTGATTGTTTTCATCACTCATCAGCGTAACGTGTTATTTAGGCCGTAAATGCCTTTACGTTTGTGTTATTTTCTCTAAAACGAAAATTTTTCACAAATTTGTTCAGAGATAACGATGACAATTATTTTATTTTTGCACGCGCACGGAATTGTGAATCTGGTAAATACGTTCATCGGCGGCGAGTTTCTAAAGATAACGCAACTTTTTGATTGAAAAGCAACAATTTAAAATACTGAAAATAAAACCGTAAACAATATAAGTTTTATTGCAGCCCGCGAAAATTTAAAAAACGCTTTTCTAGACGGTGAAAATCGCAGAATTTCGTGTGCCTCTGGCACACATTATGTTTGGTCGGCGTTTAGAAACATATCGTCACGAATTGAGGGCGGGATTTGCCTGATTATCCATTACTTCAACTTGCCGTCGAATATTTTCAAAGTATATTCAATCAATTTTATTGTGATGAAATAAATTTCACTCTGAGATGTTACAGAAGATTTATGGATTTTTCGAACGGTTTTATCTAAAAATAATCAGAGTGGCAGCATTTCGATTGAACGGGGACACTGTTATTAACAAGCACATCTAAATATTTGCCGAATTCGCAAAATACGGATCAAACCATTATTTAATCGGGCAGTTTACCGCGCGATTTTATTTTTAGGACCGCGGATTGCAATGGTATATAAGAGTGGTGAGGATTTCATTTTGTCGACGCAACCGCAGGTTAAATTGAAGACAATTAAATTAATAAAGCAAGTCATTTTAAATATGCCCGTATCGGTCACGAATTCATCACTTAGCACAACAGAAAAATATATATTGTTGTTATATTATTTGTTGTAAAAGTCGACTCTTTTAACAGGTGGCATAATCGCGGCGATGAATATGTATTTTTAATTTACTGCTAAACTTTATATGTATATTCATTGTATGAAATGAATTATATGAATTATACTATACAATTAACAGGATTTTATATAATTATTTGAGATTTTTCTAACGGCGATAACGAGTTGGCAAGATTGCAAAAATACGTATTAAAATTAAATACATCAGGCAGTTTATCTCTTACTTTTAGGTCACAGATCGCCGTGGACCGAATAGTAATGTTTTTTTTTTGACGTAAGAAGAAGAAACCGCGAGTTACGTTGGACACATTAAATTAATATATAAAAATATTTTGGAATCTCGTAGTTGTCATGGATTGAATATTTTACGTAACAGGATTGATCATTATACGCTGAAAAGACGGCTCTTTTAACGAGCGCGGAATCGCTGTGGGTGTTACAGGCGGCAATGGGAATTTCCGATTTCGAAAATCCTGGCTGAGCGGCTGGCAGTGGTGGTCAGCTATCCTCTACTAATTTATTTCTAATTTCAAACACAACAATATGTTACACATAATAACAATATGGTTCACATAAATTAATATACTGGTAGTAGTAGAATACTCTATACTTAAATATTAGAATTTTTAAAGGCATAATGGATTTTCGATTGTTGTTGCTTGTTTCAGTTGCTTGTATTGCCAATAAATTTTATTACTTTCAGAAAATATACACAATTATCTGAATACAAGTAGTATTTTTGTCAATGACTATTATCGTTTAGTTAATAGTTTAGTATTCGGAAATGGCCATCCCTGCTTGCGGTTGCGCCGACAAGAGAAATACTACGAAATATCACGGCAATCCACAGCCATAAAAGTGTTTTAAACTGCCCGATTATATTTAGTTTCGATTCGTATTTTTGCGATGTTACTAATTATACAAATTTGATCAGCAGTTGCGACACTGACTGCGCTTCAATCACAATGCTACCACCGAAGATTATTTTCAAGATATCAACGTTAAGAAAATCCTTAAATCTGCACTCAAATATCACAGACTACAACTTCTGGTATGGTGAAAATAGACAGAGTACAGTGATACCTCAGTCGATCAAAACATTCGAGACAAAAATGTTGCTGTATTCGAATGGGAATTCGGATCTCGAAAACCCGGACCGAGCGGTCCAGTGAAATGACGCCACTCGAAACCAAACCCGATCGATACAGGTCAAGATTACAGGCGAAAATCCTGGTATGCAGTTGGGAGCGGTGACTAATAAAATGGCCCGCGATAGCAAATGGGTTCGTCACACCTGGTTTAGGAGGAGAGACGTCAGCGGAAGCACCCCGTCCATTAAAATTTTAATGTACGATTATAAAAAACCTTGACCATGTTTATTGTAATAAAAATATCGAAAAACATCTAAAAATTACTCCATATTCAAAACTGCTCACGTTTACAACGAAAGATAATCACAAAAAATTTTAAATAAAAAAATAACAATAAAAAACAAATAAAACAATAAAAAAAATTTAATATGAAACAACTTTCAAAAAAGACCAACTGTTTGGTATGCTATTAATAAATGATGATTATTATTCAAAAAACAAGACTGAGACAAACATATGTGGAAATGAATCTTTCCTCCAATACAATTGATCAAGATGTCCATCATTTAAAAAATATTTACTAGTAATTTTCCAACTGTGCTACACTGCACAAACTTCCCCGTATAATGCTTTGGTACAGAAAAATGAATAATTAATATATTTCCTAAAATATGACAAGCCATTTATTCTAAGATACTCAAGCATATCTTTTCCATGGACCATGATTGTAAATCATGAAATCTAATTGTATCAAAATTGTATAAGCCTTCCAAACAGCACAATAAATAGTAATATAAAAAGAACATACCCTGATCAGTCTGTACTTGGGCTCAAATTTCTTAGCATAATCCAGTGTGTCGTAGATTAATGCAAAACCAGTTGTTCTTCCCCCTCCAAACTGCGTCCTTAAGATAAAGAAGTTATGTTCAATTTTGGCCCTCTGTGATGAAGAGATATTATTTGCAATTGCATACCACTTCATGGAACATTATTAATAATTTGATGCTGTTATACAACTTGTGTTGGTCCATGACTGTATTAGGGGGAGACGGGGATGACAGTATTTCATCACATTCTCGATTACCTGATAATTTCAGAATCAAATCAAATATTTTTTTTATATAATATCGAATACTTGGGAGATCAGTCTAAAGAGATCTAAAAATGAGGTCATACCAAGGTACATCGAAGCACGAGACGTCTCTCATTGGCAGGTCTTATAAAACATTTATCAGCGTAATACTACACATAAATAGGCTATTCTATGAATGGTCTGAATGTTGTAATTTGGATATCTGCCTTAATTTATAGTTATTTTTACATATTTAATTGGCTCAGAAATAGAAGTACTTCATAATACACTGCAAGTTCACAGGACATTCGTCGAACCCCTGGTACAGCTTCACCGAACCCCAGGGGTTCGACCGAACCCAGGTTAAGAAACACTGAATGAACGGTAGGCTTTCAACATCTGCCCTAAATTATGGCAAGGATGATTATCCACCAAATAAGTCTGAGCTTACTTGAATCCATACGCCATAACAACATCAGAAGTCGTCTTGTACACTTTGGCAAGTTGCTCCCGAACTTCAGCTTTGGCAACAGTTGGTCTACCTGGATGTATAATGTCAACGACCTGAAATTGAAAACAATATGTCAATTTATAATTTTAGCTGCTTGTACAGGTAATGACAGATTGATTGATTTTTTATGCATTCTCAGTCTCGTAAAGAAGGGGTTTGCACTCGCTGGTATAATTGATGTTTTTCAATGTGGAGGCTATTCTTGGAATCAGAGAACTGCGCCCTACTGCATAATATGCAGTTAACATATTATGCTATTCATAACCCGCACACGACTATACTGTTTAAAAATGTTGTCACTACGACGTCACAATCGTGTCATAGAGCTTGCTGAAGTATAGCTACAATCGCCTGAAATGGCACCTGCATCACCATTAATGAACTCTCTCTAACCCAGTCTGGATTTCATGGCCTTTTCGAACGAGAAATCGGGCATGCATTTGGAAATTCCCGCGTGAGACTTTAGATACCAGTACTGGTCAGTACCGCATAAAATTTTTGGATAGAAAACACATTGAATCAGAGCAGAATGGGAAGTTTGACCTTTGACCCAGACATTATTTCTACATTTTGTCATTAATTTTGGGAGTGTATTTGCGTAAAATTATTGGATGAAGAATACGCTGAATCAGAGCCGTAACTGACCAGCGTCAGAGCGAAATCTAGCAATCTTTTTGCCCATAACCATTCTCACGGAATTCCTATCAATCAACACGATGCGCCACACCGCCAAGCAATTATGAAATGAGGTCTTTTTTGCTTTGCGTTTTTCAACCAGGCCAAATCTTGCAAGCTAGTATGTAGTCAACAATAATGTGGAGCTACAATTTGTTAGCATCTTTATATTACTGGATTATTGATTTAAGAACCATTCTAACCGATTTTCATTGGTGAGCAATTGCAAATTTTCGGCGTGCAAAATTGAATCCGCTTGAGTGCATTTATCCGAACCGCTAGGCGCTAGCGCCCTCGGGCGTGCATCTGTCATGAAATCCAGTCTGGTCTCTAACGCCAGCAATCTCACATATCGGGATCATTGCGGCGAGAAAACAAGATAAATAGCTTGCTCATCTTCGGGCGATTCTCTGCATGTTTCGTGGACGACTGTCCGTATACTTTGGAGAGCCTTATTACGCTTATAGTTTATATCACAACTACTTTCGGTGGGGGTAGCATAATGAATTTTGTATATGTTATTCCTAAGCCCCACCTGGCTATGTCATCCAAAAATAACGTCACAATCACATCATAGAGCTTGCCAAGTATAGCTACCATCGTCCGAAAAGGAATCTGTGCCGACGATACCGAACTCACTAACGCCAGCGGTCTCTCTCGTATCAGAATCGTTGCGACAAGAAAACGAGAGAAATACTGAAATAGCTTGCTCGATTTCGAGTGATTGTCTGCACATTTTGGATGACCATCCGTACACTTTGGTGGTATTTATTAAGGTGCCGTATTAGTATAGTACAGCACACTATCCAAATTCCAAGGATTTTCCTCCATTTGGCTCAATAAAACAAACACTCTGACAAATTAAGATTATTATTGAGACAAGCATGGTTTGTGTGCACAAACGAGGGGTGTCTGGACCACATCATGTGCTTCATATCGCGCCATGCTTGTCTCAATAATAATCTTAATTAATCACGGCTGTCACATGATCAAAATTGCCGTTTTTTGCTAAAAACTCTCGAATGCTACGGTAAATTTTTTTTTTCTCCTGTAAATCGGTTTATTTTTTTCAAGGTATTCAATGATGACGTTATTAGATTGCGCTTTTATGTAGTATTTTGCACAACTTCATCATACTGTATTATTACCGATATTGAGGGAAAACAATGTCCAGACGTCTCCCAAAGGAGGGGTGTCTGATCATCTGTAAAATGGTCTGATCTCTGAAACAGGACAATGTCACCCGACTCGTATAGTGTGCCGTACTGTAGTAAGTATAGGTTTATTTAGACTCCATAATCAGCAATAGACGATAAAATAATAGATAAAAACAAAAATAAAAGTAACTGAAATTCTGGGTCTGGTATAGTTTAGTACCACATGCACTTCCACTTGGCCTGGCTCCCACCAAAGTATGCGGATGGTCGTCCAAAACTCGCAGACGATCACCCGAAATCGAGCAAGCTATTTCTCTCGTTTCTCGTCACAACGATCACGATAGGAGAGAGATCATCGGCGTTAGCGAGTTCGGCGGCGCAGATGCCATTTCGGGCAATCGTAATCATAACGTGATGGTGACGTCGTAGTGACGTAATTTTCGGATGGCATAGTCAGGTTGGGGTTAGGAATAACATACCGGTATGCAAAATTCGTTATGCTACGCCCACCGGAAGTACTCGTGGTACTAAACTATACTAGACCCGAAATTTTTTGGTGAAATCCTTAGAATTATACCTAATCTTGGTGCTGTATACATGGACAAATGATTGAGTTCGCAGCTATTTCAGTACCGGTACTTTTCATTAAAACTTACCATTTGCTTCCTCTGCAGAAGCCGGTTGGTCATAAACTTCCGAGTCCGAATTGTGACAGCACCAGACTGAAAAATGCAACCATAATATTCATTCAGACAACGTCAATAGAGCGGCGACTTTAAATGCTAACATTGGCTTCGTCATAAAACAAATCTATCCTTTATGCTATTTCAAGTTGAAATCATTATCCTCGAAAAAAAAAAAAACATCAAACACCCCATAGAACATGACGATTATTCAAGATTTAAAAAAGCGAAAACAACCCACCATGACTACTACACAGATGCTCGATGTAAAAGGACCGGCGCGACTTTTTGTTCCTCAGCCAAGATGCAACATAACCTGATTATTTTTTTCGGAAGAGGGCGCTCTTAAGTACTGTAAAAAATCTAAGAGCTTGGTTAGAATAGAAGGCCATGTGAGCTTCAAAAAAAGATATGCGCGGAAAAATAGGTAAGAAAACAACATTTCATTACTTATGCAGTGCGCGGAAGAACGAAAGCCGACAATAAAGTGCGGCCCGCAGCTTAGAGGGAACGTTGTTGCCGACCACTGTGCCAAAAGAATTGGGGAACACAACCATTTAGGAAGTGGAGAGAGAGAGATTTATTATTTGTAACCAGAAAAAACATAGATAGGCTACAATGATAATAATAATAAAGCAATAGGAATAACGTTTCTTCGGTATGGACTGGAGGGAGCGATACGACCACGCGGTCGTCAGAGTCAGCTCCCACCATGTTCGCACCAATTGAAATAAGTTCACAAGAAAAATACTATATTATTATAAAGCGTTTATGAATTCTGGAATTTTGTATCTTTGGGGGAAAAAAGGAAACTTGACCAAGGGTTTTGTCTTTTCTTAAATGACAAATAGTTATTTGGAGTTCGAGTAATATTTGCCCAAATTTTATAGATTTGGGTATTAATAAAAACATTTATATTCCATCTAATACAAATAAGGAAGTGGCAGGCCATGAATGGGAAATATTTGGCCCTATCAGAATATTACATTTAATCCTATTGACCAATTCCCATCTACTACAAGGTGGAAATATAAGATTTCGTCGGCATCTCTCAATGCCCCATTTGCACTATAGTTTGCATAGCCAAGTGACTATAAAACAGTGATTATGAGAATGACGGTTATGAATGGTGATTTGAGTTGTATGAACAAAAATAAGAAATTCATTCCAATATGAACAATTGTGACACTTGAACGATTATCACAAATATACAGATTTGAGAACATAGAGTCATAGACTGAAATATGAAAAAGTGAGGCGGAAATAAAGTCTCCTCCATAATCTCCTCCAAGAAAATTTAGGAGCTTGGATGACTATTTTATAGTTCCCTTACAATTGAGCTTTAAATACACCATAATACAACAACTTCTCTTTGAGTTGCCCAATATAACTAAATTAAACGGACGGTCCGTGGTCATCGGACGCCATTCTGTGTCCTACTGTACTGCTTTGCTTGGTGTGAATATATTTGTAGACTGTGATCTGACGGTACGGTAAACCGTACTGTACTGCGAACAGATGTGTCCATATATTTGGGCGTAGCTCTTTGGATTATCTTGTTAGGTATTTGGATTATCCGTCCTGCAGTTGCCATGGTTATCTGTCTGTTGGCGCTCGGAGTCGTTTTCTTCTAGTGATACCGGAAATGTCCGGTCTCGCAAATATATTCATATGCTATTTGTGTTAGTATTTTTACTCTTATCATGATTCAATGATTTTTTCATTTCTACTTTTACTTTTATAATTTAATGCTAGACTATTTGATTTCATGGGTGACGCTGCTCGATAACCACTTCTGGTTTATCGCGACTTCTTTCACCGCGGAATGCAACTTTTCATCTTTTTTCCTGATCTCGTATGTAAAAAGTGTATTTTCGATGTGGTGATAAAATAAACTACTGATTACTGATTACTGAATTAGCTGAGCCCAGGTTTGAAATACATATTTATTGGGAATGAATAGCGACTTATTAATTTAGTTGGAGTCACATGTATTTTCTATAAGTATCAAGGAAAAATGAGTATTCCATGAGTTTATTCTTGAAACTGCTATATGAGGATTTTTTGATTGAATCAGGAATTGTTCCAGAGTTTGACCAGCAACTTTTATAGACTTTTGTGCCAGACTAGATTTAGTCCTTTTAACAAAATAAGAACCTCTTCCAGCTGAGCGAGTATTATAACTATGTACATCACTACAATTAGTGAAGTAGACTAGTCATCAAAAGCAATGGGTAGCATACCGAATTTAAACTGAAACATGAGTTTCTCAACTTCAAATTTATACAAATCCGCAATTTTGTTCATTTTTTTGTAGATTGGTCCTAGACTGTGTCGAATACCGGACCCTGTCTTAATTTAGTCATTGCATTAAATAAATTTGGACAACCTGCCCGCTAGTTTGGCAATATGCATATGGCAATTTGTTTTACTATCCAAAGTCACACCAAGATACTTGACGAATTACAGGTAGTCAATACAGAATCTTTCAAGATGAATTTTGGAATAAAGCTTGAAGCATCTGTGTTTTTACTGCAGTTAATTAACATGATTAGTGTCTTTTTAGGGTTCACTGTCAGCTTATTTATAGTAAGCCATTCAGATATAATAACTATTCCTTATTACTAATTGTTCAGTCTGCCATATTTGCGGCAGAGGATGTAGCACAGGGTCATCAGCGAATAGGTTAATTAGAGCACTGGTCGCATTGATTATATCATTTTATATGGACTGGAAAGAGCGTTGGTCCTAATACTGAGCCTTGTGGGACGCCAACAGAAACACTTCTCTCTGGATTCGGAACCGGTCAAGCAAACAAATTGACTTCTATTTTATAAATAACTAGCAAATAATTTGTTTCACAACTCTACGGACACCATAATGTTCAATTTACTTATTAGAATTCTATGATCCACGGTATCGAAAGCTTTTTTCAAGTCCAAAAATATACTTCTATAATTATAATATTTACTAACAATGTCAAGAATGGAATGTATGCAGTGGCCATTTCGAAACCAAATTGATCATATTCAGATTGAATGTTTCCAGAAAAGAATTTAATCTTTCAATAATAATTTTTCAAAGAGAATCGAAAGGCAGGATAAAATTGAGATAGGACGATAATATGACACCTTATCCTTTTCACTAGATTTATACACAGGCACAACTTTTGCAATTTTCAAATGGCTTGGTAAGATTCCTATAGACATAGAAGTGTTGAATAACCTACATAAAATTGGGCTAATAATAGTCTTCAACAGTTTGATCATGTAAATTGGGATATGATCATGCCCCTTAGCCTTTCCGCTTAGAAGAGAATCAATAGCTATTGCAATCTCACAAGGAGTGGTATCCTCCAGGAACATGGAAGATTTGTTAGGTGGATTTAGGTACTTAAAAACTCGTTTTTATCATTATTTGAAAACGAGGAAGCGAGAGAAGGTCCGATTTGGAAAAAATATTTATTGAAAAGATCACAAATGTCATCATTTTATGTTTGTCAAAGCATTTAGCATAGTAGTCATGTTTGGCCCTATTTTTAATATGAGACAGAGTATTAGAATACCCTTTTATACTGACGCTTTTCAACATCAGAGCCATTTAAAAATAACGATTTGTGCAGTTTATCTCAAATTTTGGCGGAGCGTAACATAACTGGGGTGATCCAGGGTTTTTGCATTAACCTCCATTAACTCCAATTTGTGGGGGCAAAATTCCACTATTAAACACAGTTTGAGCTTCATTTAAAGATACTTCGGGGTTGAAATGCTTCATATCTCGCTTCATGTCTGTAAAATGCTTGGGAAGCGTATGTGGCAAATCAGTTTTTTACAAAATATAGGGAAGTGATCAGTCAAGCAATCAACTAGCACGATTGGCTTAATAGTTTTTTCAAATATATTGGTACACATATGATCAAGCAGAGTTGCAGAATCACTAGTTACCCTTGTAGGAATTGTGATAAAACTCTTTTTGTCCATTCATGACATATGGCTACAAAGAATAAATTATGGCGTAACAAATGAGTGAGCTCTCGCGAAATAGTCACCTGCTAACTTACTGTTATAAATTGATTTCGAAAGAAATATAAGTGATTAGGGAAGGTAACAAGAGAGAAGTGCACAAAACGAACTATTGCTTGCGTGATTGGGATGCCATTCCCAAAAATTTTCTGTGTTTTAAAAACTTTGCAACTGCACTACAATTCTACATATTTTCATCTACATATGCTTGTGAACCTCTGTTCTCAGTTATGAACTTCATTAAGTCTCGTAATAGGAGTAACCTGTAAGATGAAACCAGTACCGGTATCCGTGTATTTATTGAAAGGTAGAAAATATACACCCAATATAAAATATCTATTAGCGTCAATGCAGCAGCAAAGGTCTCACTGATATAGAATAAAAAAAAGTAATCAAGTCTATTTGTCGGACTGATATTTTCCCGAATAGTGAATCTGTCAGTACATGTTTAAAAGGTTTATTATTGTGTATGTTTGCTTTGAAAATAGTAAAGATATGTTTTTAATTTTGGTCGGCACGCGGAAGAATTTAGTCGTTAAATTTATCCGATTTTGGCACGCGAGCCAAAAAAGATTGCCCACCCCTGTCCTAGGAAGACAGAGTGATCATTGAATTATCTGATTTATAATCAAATTTCCTAAACACAACTGAAAACTAACGAATAGAGTTCAAAAACGCGAAAACGAGGCAATGTTTACGATCACGCCTGAAAATCTGTCCGAATGAGAAAAGTGTCTGAGCGGATGCGAAAAGGGAGCATTGTTACGTCACGTTTTACATCTTGCTGATTGGCCAATGTCACGAAGTAAACACGGAGGTCGATGCTCAGGAAAAGGTCCATTCGTTTTGAATTTCGTGTCCCATATATTTGAGTATTGCTCTCTTAAAATTGATTAAGCTTGATTGTACGATTTATTGCATTATTTGTTTCACCAAAATGATTTTTATATATATATATTTTGTGGTCGAAAAAAAACAACCGACGATGACTTCTGAGCCCTTTACGTGTCGCCTCACCCTGCTTTCGACCGGGACTTATCGAATTCAAAATCCTATGCATAGATACTATTAATTTCTGTTCACCATAAACATTATGTTTAACGCTTCGGTCCGCAATATAGTTCAAATATATAATAATATATTATATTTCTTATACCGTCATTTACCACAACACTAATTCATCCGTGGAATTTTCGTATCTTCTCAGAAAACTTTGATTGTACAAAATTACCGGGTGATCGTTGTCAATTGCAACCCAAAGTGACTAGCGAGTGTTATAGTCACTTTGTTGCAACCATACCGCGTTTATAAGCTTGTAAACCTGCTATTTTCAAAATTATTGAATATCCCAAATCTCAGCTCACTGGAGCCAGTGGGAATCGGGTTTGTCTGCCAGTCTGACCACAATGACGGCCTCAGTAACCCATACAACTTGAACACTAATGTCATTCTTTACAATGTAATGAATTTTAGGATTTGTAAGAACAATTGTAACATAATAATAATAAAATGTTAGTATAACTATAAATTTTTACGTTGTTCCCTTGCGGTCGTTGTCTAAAATATTATTACCTTTCCTATAATATAAGTAAAATATAATTTTGAGTCTCATAATTAAAATATTTATATAAAATAAATTGTGCACCATAATAGCTCATATTATTACAAAATTGTCGTGTCACATTTCAATAATACCGATTTCAGCGAGATTACCTAATTGTACAAAACTTCTTTTGTATAGGCAGTAGGCACTTCTATTCAGTGATGATTAAAATTAGATTTATGTTGTTGTGATAAAATTCCTCAAATACTGGCTCAAATGATATTTTAATCAAAAAAGAATGTGTGTGTTTTTTCATGACGTGAACAAAATATTGAACTATTCTCTAACATGGCGATGATGACGGAACAAAAAGAATTAAGGAGTAAATAATAAATTTCGTTGATTTCATAATTCGCCGTTTGCGCCATGCATTTTCCTGTCTTGTTGAAGTAAATTATCCGACTCGCTATCTGGTGTCCCTTGATCGACAGAAGTTGCAAACGGCACAGCTCGGTTGAATGTATTTGTGTCGTTGGGTAATGAAACTTTACTTGTCAAGGATTTGCTTCTGCCCGGCCTACGAGCCATCTTCTCTCTTGCAGTAAAGTCTCTCGTGCTAGTAATTTTCAATGTCTGAGCTAAATAAAAACACACAAATGAATATAAATCGTGTCAACACTGTCGATACGTACTATTCATGGAACAAGAAACATTGTGAAACTACATACATTAACTGAATTAAACATAATCACGAAATAATAGAATGTTGTAATGTCCGATGAAAATGCAGTTACTAACATAAATCACTGCTATTTGCGGACGGTGAGTTGAGCCATCGAGTAATTTTGCTATTCAAAATATTGTCATGTCAAATTTTCCAGCCAATTGCTCCAAATCTTTTATTAACACAGTTGGCGACGTCACGCTCTTCCCTGATGAAACCGACGGGGATCTTACTTGGTATTCTAAAAACATAAAAGAGTATAAGTTGTTCAATGTCACGTACAATTTTTGTATAATACCGAATGTGAACCCTATTCACTTACCTGGGAGGGAAAACATTTTCACTGACCAACTGTAATCTTCTGAAAGCACCAATTTACCAACTGCAGTTAGGGCAACTGCTTCTGGAAAGTGTAGTCCGTCAACATCTACAAAAATGTTTTGAAGTTGTTTTAATGGTTTTAAATACTTTCTGTGTAATTTATACTTAATTCAATTGAATATTCAATGGCTGCAAATATTTAAAAATGTTCACGTGTTTCGTACCTGTTACAATATGTTTTTTGAAAACTCCATCAGGAGTGAATAAATCAACTCTGTGATTCCAACAGTCGGCTACAAGAATGTTATCATTTTCATCAACGCATACTCCTCTAGGTCCTTGAAGTTGTCCGGGCTCGGATCCTTCTTCTCCAAACATACAAACCAACTCTCCCTGTATAAAAAATGAATATTAAATTAACCATCGAAGTTGGATTAAGCATGTGAACTGTGAAACACATCAGAATTTATTAGACGCATAATGTTTTTTAGGGTGTACTAGTTACTCCATACTGTAAACTGCCACAAAGGGCTGACCGTCTATTTTTTCGGAAATAAATATTCAGGTATTTCGAATGAAACTTTGAACATGAAATAAATCCAAACCACCTTATGAGTAAATTTCTTTATTGTGCAATCTCCGCTGTCCGAAATGATTATGTTGTTTTGCGAATCGCATGCAACGTACCGCGGCTCGACAAATTTTTTGTCGTTCACTCCAGCTCCTGCACCAAACTTGCCGATGAGTGTACCATCAGATCTGAAAAATGTAAACATGATCAATTTAGAAGCCCAGTTTGCCGTTTAATATTGAACAATACTTTGGCTTGATTGTGTCCTGTGAACATTACCGTTCATTAGCATCAATGTCAAATATTATTGTTAATATTTATATATATTAGTATTGTGTTATTAGTTTTCCTGCGATTTCATTATGCAAATATACCTGAATATTGTTATCATTCTCTGAGATATATCCGAAACAATAATTCTATTCTTGTCATCGGTAGCAATGCTATTACAATTCACAAAAATTCCTTTCCCAAATCCAAGTACAGGCTTCCCTTCATGCGTCCATATGTAGACTTGATCCTCGCAGCAAACTGCAATATCGTCGTTTCGCAAAACTGCAATACCGGATGGACGAAGTATTTTACCGTTGATCTAAAATTTATTTTAAAGAAAAGTTTGTGGTTAAATATTATATCAATATAATTGTGCAAAACGATTGCCTATGCTTGCTACAATTCAAAAGTTATTACCTTAGTTTTAAAAGAATCCTTAAAATCGCCATGAGGATCAAAAATTTGAATCTTGCAGCTGTCCGTGTCAGATGTCATTACTTCCCCAACTGAGTTTACTGCAATGTTTGGCGTGGATTCAAATTCGCCATCTTCTTCGCCCTGCTTTCCTATCTGCCGATAAAATAAAATTTTAATGCATTTTAAATATGATATTTTTAAAGATTTAAACAATTTGCACAACTTAATTGGGAATTGCATACCTGTTTTAGTAGTTTTGTTGTTTCAACAGAATCCATTCGCATAAATTGTTCACCAACAGGAGAAGCAACGACTTGTTCTCCAACACAAAATGCATCTACCGCTCGAAGTACCTTATAGAATAAAATATTTAATTTCAACTACGATTCAGTATCACTGATGTAAAATGATAGCAATCAGGTTAATCACTTTTGATAGAGTATTACTTTGTTTAAACGTTAAGTACGCAAATTCAGAATTTTACCTTGATTACTGGACCAGTGAATGGTTTTGGCACAAACTCAATTTTTCCAAAGATGTTGTCCAATAATTTTAAATTTTCTATGTTGAATTTATAATCAAGTGCCATGGTATCTTGCTCTTTATGATATTTTATTGCAGGATGAGTTTCCAGTAATTGTTGCAAAATTTGCGTCATTTGATTGTTTAATCCAAGTACTTCCTTTGGTGTTCCATATTCTAAAACCTTTAATATTGGAAAAAATTTAAACATGAATTAATGCTCAGCTAATTTCAATTGGTTTTTAATTCCGTTGAACTTTGCGTTGGTTTATTATGTGACAACCGTTGAGTATAGCCGGCGGAATAGAGTGGAATACGAACGTGAAAGCAGTTTAATACTCAAGTGACTCTGATGGAGTAATTTTACCAAACTCAATATAAAAAGGGCAAGCGCGTGCCACGTATAGAGCATCTGTTTAGGAATCGTTTCTCAAAGTTCCATTTTTACTATGCCGATATAAAATACCGTCTTTTGTTCACCTTCCTAGAAAACTCGGCGCATGATGACAATGAGTTCATTTGTAAATCGACAGACTCTGTATCAGCTTGGAGTTTTTTAACATCGAGATCATGCATGGCACGTATTTTCTTGATGAGGTCATCTTTTTGCTGAAAAAAAAAAAAATAAATTTTAAAAATGGACATATGCAAATGGAGTAAGTAGCAATGGCGACATTAATCTGTCCGACAACAAGCAAACAGATAAAGCATTTTTGAAGAGGTTGCTCCATCAAAACACTCAATAACTCGTTTCATCGAATAATCCAATTAAGATTCCATTGCGCACGAGTGCGCTTATCCCTATTGAGTTATCCTATATTGTATTTCTACCAACCTAGTACTGAACTCCTTATAGACTACTAAAAGTAAGTTCTTAGTGTTAAGTATTTAACTACTCGTACTCTGAGCCCGGCATTATCCCTCCATTTCGTTGAGTCGCAAATGAAGTTAACCTCGTACGATGACAGAATTTTGCATCAGTCAATGCAATAAAATTTGCAACTAATATTTGGCATGTTATTTGAAGTTTTTTTTATTGCGACTGTCACCGTCAGAAACTTTTCTGTTACAGGCGAATATAATCGAATTCATGTCATAGAATGCGTGTACATAATCAACACAATGGTGTTATTGAAGTTATTTGACGAAAAAGGTTGTAATAACTTTAAATTTAACATAATTAAAAGTAAAGATGCATACCCGTTCAATTTCTGCCACAAGGGTGCCACAGGTTTTTATTATCTTCCATTCGGCCTTTTCTAAAGATCGCTGTTTCATTTCTGCAATTTCTTGAATACTCTTTTGCATATCTTGAAGCACTTCTGTTTTGCTTTTGCCAGAAGTCAAAAGTTTTTCGATCTGTGGTTGTAAATACAAAATAGTGTTCACTTGCATTACACTTTGAAAACAATTTAAGAATATACGACGTGTAGTTTGATTTTTGGTGATGCTCATGAAGCGAATATTTGGGAAAGCACTGACAATAGAAGTTCTGACATCAGATCAGCAATGGTTGAGGTGATGGACAATAAACAATAGTTGTGTTGAGTGGTATCTGTACGATCATCCGCGCCAGGAGTGTTCATTGAGGCGATTTCGCAATAATATTAGTTGGCTCAAAGAAATACGCAAAGAAATTGGTACGCGTCCAACTTAATCCCATAGTGTACTTACTATTGGCAATAAAGCAGTTATCATAAAAAAAATTAAAACCCAAATCCATATCAACAAGCTATCACCATGCTCCAAGTAGTAATTATTATTCCCACCTGGCCTGCACAACTCAAATTACCACGAGGGCCGCAAGCATAAATCCGAAGGCCCGGCGGGCCGCAAACTTTGCCACATACATATTTCACAAGAGGAACTACAAATCAAAATAATATTGTGAAACAGTTGAATTTAATGAAACATTTTCATTACTGGGGAGCTTAAAAATATGAAAAATATTATTTTCTTGGGTAAAAACAAGGTACCGTATTTTTGCATATGAAATGGCAAATATGAATTTAATGGTTCATCTACCTTGAATACCTACCCTCCATTTTCCAATATTTCTTTTTTATTAGAATTAGGTATTGCGTGTTGCAGTAAAAAACTGACTGCAGGAAAATATTCAGTTTTCAAACATTCGGTTCAGTTTTGTAAAAACGTCCCAAATATATGTATGACAATTTATTTAGTCATATCTACCATTATTGGATATTTCTGTCTGTTAAATTACATTTTTCTACAAAATCTGCTCCAATTTATTTGAAATTTTACAGTAAATAGCAAAATCTTTTGTGCGAGAATTTCTGCGCCATTCATAAATGAAGGAAGTTCTGAATTTGAATCAAAAAATAAACTTCAGTTTCATAAACTGCTAGTAAAAAATAATGTAAAATAATAAATTATTAATAGGTTACTAATATGCGCTAATGGGTGTGAGATTGTATACCGATATTGTTTTAAGCGTGATTCAGTCTGAATACTGAGATATCTAAATCAGGGTTTCCCAAACTGGGGGGCGAGGGGGCGAGCGACGAATTTTAGAGGGCGCGAAGGGCACACCAATTTCATACAAAGTTTGATATTTATTGAAACTAGTGCAAAACCTAAATCTCACGATTTCGAATATGATCCGAGTAGCGGCGCGCTTGCATAACAGTGCCGGCTTTGATTGTTAGACCCGAGAAGTGGCGTGTTTCCAAATCACCTGCGGGCCGCACAGAAGTATCTAGCGGGCCGCATGCAGCCCGCGGGCCGTATGTTGTGCAGGCCTGCCCTACACCCTGGGGTGATTCATATCTCAATGTGGTGTAGATTTCCGATTCAAATTTTTGGGTACTTAACTCGTTTGCTGATTATTTATATATATATATATCATGGGAGTACATATCATTATAATATCCTATTACATGCTTGATGCTCGTAATGCAGAACTGGTAGTCTTGGCATTAGCCCGAAGTAAAAAATATTGAATTCTCATACTTGTCCGCTTTGATTATGAACTTCGTCTTTCAGCATGCACCTGTCATGTCCTGCATGGTCTGAATCCACACAATCGTGACATATTGCGCATTTGCAAGTTTGGCAGTATATTTTTGCAGCTTCTCCCTCGTGAATCTAGGATTAATGAATTGACAATTAAGCGTAACACTTGTATAACGTGCTCCACTAATATTTCCTTCCTACGTTGGGACGCTCTCCGAAGTTACTTCGCCTTGGAGACTTTCGCTATTCAACGTTGATTTCTTCAAACCAATTATTATAATTCCAACTTTATCTTTTTGGAAGGCGATGATGTAATTGCATTTATTTGTCAACGACTTAACTCCAATGAAAGTAACTCCTGGGCATTTTGTAATGAAACAAGATTTACTTACCGTACAGTATATTTTGGCTCTGCTTTTTAGTTCTTCGTTATGTATTCCGGATTCTAGTTCAGATAGTGATACAATTTTATGACGCCGAGTAAGTTTTGTCCGTCTATGCCAAATGGAACAATCGGTGCATAAAAAATCTGTGCAATCCAGACATCGTGATATTGCTGACTTGCGACAGTCATCGTCACAAGTATCACACAGCAAAGATGTGCCTTGCTTGTCATCGTTTCGAATCTCTTTAACAGTCTTCAACATGTCAGCCATACTGGAGATGAAAAAATTGTCTTTTAGTCCTTGTATTCCATCGCTTGTCAGTGTCTGGGAACATCGACAAGTGGGACATAGCAGAGCAGATGCATTCGGGGTAAGATAGTCTTGAAGACACTTCTTGCAGAAAGTATGTTGACAGCTGAGGCTCTTTGGGGATGTATAAGTTTCGAAACATATCTGACAAGTAAGAAACTCGTCATTTATTTTAGCCAAGAGATCCAACGAACTTGCTAATTTCCGACCAGTGTATCTGCAAATAAAAAATATAGAGAGTAATGAATTAGATTAGAAACGAGCAATTTTTTCCCACAATTTTTATAAAATGCAGCGGGCCCGCCAATAAAGATAGCCCCACTAGAAGTCTATAGCATTATTCTAAACCTCTACTATGTACTAGAAATGTTTTTTGTTATCGAAGAACGTAATTGCAATAACTACAACTAGTATATATAGAATTTTCACCAGCAGTTACGTTAATAAAAATCACTTTTACTAGGTCGGACAAAATTTTGCCCACCTTGCCATAACGTCTCTGATTAAATACGTTAGGGTTAGGACATAATCGAAGAGTTTGAAAAACATTATAGACCAAATTGGGTTTCGTAAAACCACACTTTACTACCTGTGGCAGGCCAATTCCGTTAACCGGCCGCAACAACTTTTTAATTCTTTTTCATCATTCTTACATTTTACTCTTATCTCAAGCATACAACCACACCTAGTTTCTATTACATTTTTCAGATCGTAATCATGCACGGAACTTTAAATCAGATACGCATATGGCAATGTATTAAAAAAACAAATGTCGCCATAGTACCACGTCACGCAAGAGAAAATGAATTATTTTGAAATAAAAGAATACTGAGAAGATGTACAGAAAAATCTGTTGCAAAATAAAGCAAAGTTTCAAATTAATACGGAATTAGAACAATAATCCTGAGAGGTAATCTTTTCAAATCCCATTTCGCTACAAAATCATGATTATTCAATGTCAAACTATTCAAATATAATCAACCCAAGGAAGTTGAAAGACGATTAATTTTCTCGCATATTCAAAAACTCAGACAGCATTTTGGTAATAGCATTGTTATGTATTTAACAAAGGGCACATTTATTAAATTATGCAGTGGCTTCTGAATGACTAGCAATTTGATTATGACTTTAACCTAGAGCTAAATCAGTGAATCGGATTAATTCCTACGGATTCCATGACACATCTTTCTCGTTAACACATGATATTAGACAGTATAATTGCCACATATTATAGTAGTAAAAAACTTTCTTACTTTTCCTGTTCGACGTTGTCGTTGGTGATACTGATAACTGTTGTGCTATTTCCACCAGAAGCCATGACTATATTATATATATTGATCTACGAACCCAACTTGAAATATACCGTAACATTTAGTTTTATAACAAAATATAATTCTATACTTAAAAATGTAATTAATACATAAAAAGTCTGTCATGATAACCAAATAACTTCGAAAATGATTTAGAAAGCTTAATAATCAAGCCCACACACAAGTGCTGAATATCGGTAAAGCGTTTTTTGATTTTTTTCTATTCGATTTATCGCATTTTTGAATATTAACAACGGCTTAGATTCGACAAAACAGGCTAAAACAATGGTGATAGAACCAGCCACTTCTGTCGTCCTAGTTGTTGTTTTTAAACGATTGTACCGACAATATTCGCAATTCTGACAAAAATGTTGATCTTTCCGGCCACTTGCTTACCATAATATAATAATACTTCCTTTCAAACAATGTCGTGACAACAGCTCTCTTATGTGAGAGATACCTTTCTCGTTGGATTCAGAACAACGATTTCCATTGTATCTCATCCGTAATTTATTTAAACTTACGCATCGTATCGTAGGTGGGAAATCGAGCGAGAAATACCTTGCAAAACTTAAAAATAGACAACTTTTCTTGCGCGAATGAGTGCCCTCAGGCGCGAAGAAAAGCATAGATAGGACGTAATTTGAGAACACAAATAAACCCCATGATAACTAAGAACGTTTAGCTTGAAAATAACTGGAGTTCTACTCGTTTATGCAAAATACTACTTATTGTCTGGCAATTGCTGGAAGCGCCTTTGTTCGTTCTGAAAATGCAGTTCACTGATTTAGGGTAAAATAAGATCATGACGTATTTTCACAGCTTTTACGCGACATTGTTCGGAGTTTGTCGGAAGTCATGAAATTCTTGTCTGCGATGCAGATGAAACTCGGCCAAAAGGTTATTATCCATTGTCAAATGTCTAAGAAGGCTGGTTTTCTAGCCTGTTCAATCATACATACCATCATATGTATTCTCTTTTAACAGGTATAACAGTGGAACTAATGATGATCGATCTTTAATGTTGGACTATTGACACCTTACGTGGCCTGTTGCTATCTACTCACAATAGAATGATTGCAAGCATGCCGACGAAATCCAATTAGGTGTTTCGATTGAACCCATCACTACCATATAACACAAGATCTAAAGACTTATGTAAGCTATACCGAAACACAACAGCCCAAAAAGCTTGGGCGACTGCTTGCATAATTCCCATTGGATAATATTAATATGCAAAACTGTATATAAATGTTTTTGTGTAGGAAATCTAAAACCTTCCTATATATGTAAAATACACAGACACTATAATACTACAAACTAGAGTTGTTGTTCAGCTTTTGTAAAAATAGTGTGAAACCCAACTTTTTAATATTTAGTCAATAAAGATGAAGCAAAATAGTATATTTTCTTATGTGAGGCGAAATAATAACAACGGTGAAGGTCAGGACGGCAATGAGCAAAGTAGTTCAAATCCAAAAAGCGGCACCTGCTTCTCCTCCGAAGTGAATCAAATGTAATTCAATTGCCAAAGTTGGAAATTTTTTTTTTTTAATTTTGGTAACTGGGGTTCCATGAAAAACGATAAATTATATCAGGGGTTCCACAATAACAAAAAGGTTGAAGAGCACTGGTTTAAACCTAACTTTATAAAGCGAGTGCACTCTTCTAGTACATAATAATCGTATTCGTTTGCGTATTTTGTGATGTTCACTCCAGCATTTTACGGATGGCTAAAATATAAGCAAAGATAGATAGATAGTTTATTTTGAAAACTGCAAAACTCCATAATGCACACAAAATAAAAATGAAGAATTCTGAAGATGAACAAAACTTTTAATATCATGTATCCGCTCACCAGCACACGCTCAAAAAAACACAAATCTTGTTAAACGAGACTTGGGCCAGAAATAAACCCACATAAAACACGCGAATGTATTAAACATTCGGGCTGTTGTTCTTTCAAAATACTTAAGCTAATAATGACCAATTCAATCTGATACAAAGATAACGTGTGGAGTGCAATGTAATAAAGTGGTTTAAGATACATACAAACTAAATAGAAAATAATGCTGGCAAATGCTATGAACGGACACTCATAAACAGTTGTCGCGAAAAACTCTAATAATACGTGAACAGGTCTGTAATTGATGAGGCAAATATTCTTAAAACTGTACACACACAGAACAAAAACGATAATACTCCATTTTATGGAACGTTGCGAAAGGGCATGGTCATATCATGTTATATAATTACAAATAGCTTTTGCATATATAGTACCGAAGAGATTGTTTGATTCTCATTCATTATTTACCGGTAATAGCATTTGCAGTATCTGCTGAGAGTTGAATTCCATACTCATTTTAATATTCCTGATTCATTATTTTTCGATTCTGTTACGTTGCCTTAATGTCCTTCTCGTCGTTACTTTGCCTGTAGGCTCCTTGTTGGTTGTTGGTATTCCTTCGGTGCGCGTTCACTGTATCATTTTAGTCCTCTGCACCGCCGAAAACGCGATCACACAAAGAAAAAGTGTGAATGACAAATGTGAATATAAGTTTTTATTATATTATGCTCCTAACAAAATCAATATGGGCATATGCATTGTTTATGCTACTTTATTATCCAGTTAACCGTCACAATAATATCCGGATATCGGATGGCAAAATACTTCTCGTTCAGCCGGTTAATCCAATCCTGCAGAACAGTGTGGTAATACGGTATGGTCGACCAAAGTTCTTCTCCAAACGGTACGAAGTTTTCAGTAAAATTACTTGGGATAATCGATAAACAACTATGGCGAGCAGGCATGGATTTGAAAAATATTTATTCAACTTTATTCGTGACTCTGAACAACCTTAGCACAAACCAGCGAATCGTAATTACCCTTCTATAGGATGCCCTTTGCAACAGATACAAAATAGAAGACTGTCAGACAGTGCTTCCCAACCTTTTTTCAGTTTGCGACTCACTTTTATTGGCATTTTTTTTTTGCGGCCCACAACGAGATGTTGATCTGTGCAATTTACTATCAATGTGAAACTTGAGCTTGCATATTATAAGATCAAGTCGCGGCTTGATGGGAGACAAGCTCACACGCATCGTAGCATTTACACTCAACACATTGTGTTTTTGGCTCGAACACATTTCTTGCCTTTATGAAACCACATTTGATGTAATCAGAGTCATATTTTCTCACTGCAACTCACCGAGTTTCCACATACAAGTATCTCACGTATATTTTGTTCGAGTGTATTTCAGAAAAATGACTTGACGACATGCCACCATTCTATGCAGAATATATTAGCCTACATATTTTTTTTTGCAATTGTTAAATAGAATATGTTATAATCCCAAAACAAAAGGGAATAAATATGTGAAATTTATTATGTGAATCAGCATTATTTGGCCCGAGAATTGAATCAGTGTCCAAAGTCAAAATCACTGCATTCCACAATCTTGTGTCAAGTCGATGCTGCTCAAAGTAACTCCTCGGCCTTGGTATAAACTAAGCGCATTATGCCATTAAAATGCCTCATATCGATATCATTCACTTCAGGAATTTCCAATTGTCTATAAACACTGAACGAAATTAAATTTTTTTGGCAACAAGGCACTTCAAAAAGCTAGATTTATACATCATTTCAATTACTTCACTCGAATTTGTTTAAGACACAATGGAGTAATATTAAGCAGGGCATGCAGGAGTGATCAACACGCAGAGTTTATAACAACGCAAACCATTTTGTAGGCTTGTTTAGATTTGTTGAAAATGTCCTAACTTTATCGAAGAACCGCCCAAAAAAGCAGTTTAGTAGTTCAAATTGACTTTATTATTATTTCTTAATGGTACTTTTTTGGGGTTGTTTAAGAAAATTCAGTCACCATATTGATGCATATATGTTTGCGAGAAATTTTTTCTAGATTATTTTTTTTGTATCTAGATCTAAAATTCAGCCAGATTCCTAAAACTAGTAGTAACAACTCCATATTCATAAAGCCATCCAAATCAGGATTCGTATTGTATATCTAATTATGCAATTTTCACTGAAAAGGTCAAACATTTTTAAGGAGGTTCTGTCACTAAACTGTCAATGCATATTGTAAGACTGAAATAACAGCCAATCTTTAGGGAGAAATCCAGCAAGAATTTCCCCAACAAAACCTCAGTTATATAAAGCCTGGAACCTCAAACATCTCCGCCAAGATAGATCATAGCCTGTTTTATCACAGGCTAGTTTACAACAAATATAGCAATTATCGGAATGTGTGATGCTTGATTAACTCACAAAGCCTACATGTTATTTATGTGACCAATCGAGATAGTTAAAATATAATTTTGCAAACAGGATGAATTCGCTTTCAACAATAGCTCCAAATTACTTTGAATTAATAGATATCAACTTGGCTCGGAGTCCAAAAACATAAACTCCTAATGATGGCAAAGCTTATCCACATTTCGTTTATTCAAAGTTTGGTATGTGTGAATAATTATGATTTGCAGTTAGTATTTTGTTTGAACGAAACATCTTTAGAATGCAGACCATACGCTATGAAGGTACTTTTAATCGAATTTTGAGACACAATAATCAAGTAACCATTGATCAAATTATAAAATTATCAAGAGTGCGCGATATTACATTATTATTTTTGATACAATATATTGGGTCGACTTGGGGATAGCATATCAAAATGAATGCATGTAATTTGCAGATAACATAAGATAATTTATTTGCCAGAAGGTGGATGTGGTCAATTCTCAATCCCGCTACTGCGCTATGGCAGCATGGAGATAAATCTCACTAATACTACAAAATAGGTTATAGTAAGGAAATTGTCACCAAGCTGAACTCGTTTTTAAACTTTCTTGATCTACATTCCATATTTCAAGAAAATATCAACAACCCGAATGAGAATATGTCATATTTTACAACCCATTCACTGATTTATGATCTTTTCTAGACTTTTAACTGTTGTTACCATATGCAACTGTATCTCAACCTGTTAACTATACTGTAAACAACAAAACATGAAAAGTTACAAACCGACAATAGATGCAGCTGTGTTTTATTCGATGTTTAACATGCATAACAACCCATTGCTATGATTTGAGAATCAATGTCGGCTATTTTTCTTGAGACATTTGTGATCGCCTTTTTTCTTAAAGCAAGATTTTGCTGCTTTTTATCCCAGTAGGCTTTGGAACGAGCTTTTCTTTTGTCCTCCAGCGCATTGACAACATCTCTGTACTTCCATCCAACTTCATGGGACAAACGGGAAAGTGGGGCAAACTTTCGATGTGGCTTCAGCTTTACAACTTTAATTGCTGATGGTACAATGACTCTTTTCTTTTGTCATATGGAGGTGGTATTCCTTCGAATGCCTTCAACCTGGCCAGGGCGGCTTCTCCACGCTTCAGCTTATGTGGAAGCATGCCACGAACTGTCCTCCATAATATCTTCGAAGGGGCTCTAAAATGAAAAGGACCCCTCTTTGGGTTGGTGTTGATTCTCTTCCTCAAAAAATCCAGATACTTCAATTTGTTTCTGTAAAAGTTTCCTGATATCAATAAACCTTCACATCGTACAACGACTATTTTCTGACCATTCAAAACCGATTTGGCGATCACAGCTGCCAGACGGCCAAGCAAATGATTGTTGGCGTCTATCAACTTCACTTCTGAAAACGCGTCGGCCATCGCTGTCGTTGGAAAAAGGCCGATCACCTCACTGCGAGCATGACGCAAATTTCAGAAAAAGTTTCCTACGCGGATAAAAGTTTCATTTTCTCAGTGTTTTTTTTAACTCGAAGAAGAAGTTGTTGTTTCTTTTGGTGTATTGAAATATGTCAAAATTTTTGTATCAGAATACAAAACACAATCATAACTTATATTTACTATAACTTACATTATAAAAAATGTTGAAAGCTGTTATGTTGGATTTAAAATATCAGTGGCAGCTATTATTATTACGTATCACAGAAAATTAAATTGGAAAGTTTAAAGCATATTCTAATACAAATAACAGTCTAGCAAAACATTTAGGTTTTTCTATTGTATCCATTGGTATAAGGTTTAGTATAAGTAATATAAAAGTTTGCTGTCAAACGTAATACTTTCAATTGGGAACACTGGATTACACAAAGTCAATATTTCTGCGTAGAAATATATGCGCGGTGATCGGAGACATCTGAAACCATATTTATTAACCCGGTATTTTTATGTGCTGGTCTGAATGTTGCGTCACCGTCTTAACAATTGAATTTTTGAAACCTAATAGTATTAATTTCAACAATTCGCATATAGAATGTTACAGTCGATTTTGCAAATTCTGTCGATCCAATCCAGCTGTCAATCCCACCGCCACTCATATGAATTCAGCGTATGATTGTGATACTTTTTACGAATTAAGTTATGACACACCAATTCACAATCTGGTCTACCGCGAATTCCGTTTTGAAAGTGTTTAAGACAATTTACAATTTCTCCAATGTTGTGTGAAGGTACTGGTATTTTCTCTTCATTGGTTTCCTAGGGGCCATGTACTAAATATGACTACACGGAGTCACAGCCACGGTTTTGACTTAGGGTAGAATAGGATTTACCTATATATCCGGGTGAAGAGAGAATGCCCATCCCTATGATACTTAATCATATGGTGAACCACGGCCTCTCGCCAAGTTATCGGTCCATGTCAGGTATGTGATTGGTTAGCCAGTTATTCGTTTCCAGGTGTATGGACTTGATGGTGGAGAAAGCCGTAATCGACCAGCGCTTACGCGAATCACCCAACGGCGGCGAGGAGTCCAACACATGAATATCCCCACGGCATTTGAACCTGGAACCCACGCAAGGTAATAAGCTGAGCGGAAACAAGCCTATTCTTAACGCTTATCACGATACACCACACCGCTGAGACACAAGTATTTCCCCGTAGTGGATTTCAATATTTAAGGCTGACTCCCACCAATTTCGCCAACTCTTCCAGTTCATCTGTTGAGGGTTGGTAGTGTTTTCTCTATTTTTTTCTGTTTAATTTGAGCAATTCTGCTGGATAATAAAAGTTATTTTTTTGCGAAATAAAACTCTCGAACACATTGTGAAGCTTCAGATGTGCAGGTTTAATCGAAATTCAATTTTTGACCCTTTTCTGTTGAAAAATGCTGCTATTCTTTATTGATATTATTCAAAACTTCTTTTCATGAAGAGCTTTTAATGGCGGGCCGTTAGCGTTAATTTTTGGCAGCAACTGAACAACAAATTATGGTAGTTTCTGCAGACGTTCCGTTGCGCAAAGGCAGAAAACGTGACGTCATAATACCCGTTCTACTCGCGAAGGTGGGAAGCGTGAGTATCTGAGGGACCAACTCGCTCAGTTCTCTTGTAAGCAATCACTGCCTTTATTATAAGATACACCGTCTGTCGCAAATACAAATTTCATTTATCATGAACCTCTGTTTTAAAACTTATAGAATAGATGATAGAGCGGAATATATCACCGGATGAGAACAGAAGGGGCCTAAGTCACATAAGTTCACTTTTTTTAATATTTTGGGGCTTTGAGTCATGCTCTACAAGATGGTGGTCTTGAAATCCTGAATTTCTGAACAATAAAAATTTTAGCTGGACTTAGGACTATAATATTTTGTAGAAGTTAAGAACAGAATAGGCATATGTTCCAATATGATTGACATCGGAAATAAAATGTCCGAAAATTACATCTTTAAGAATTTGTTCAGTGCAACTTAGGCCTAAGTCACCTTGTTTTATCTTGCATTCCATATAAAAAATTTCAGAAGTTGTTGAAAACAGAATGGGCCAAAGTCCTTAGGGGTAAAAAAGCAGAAAGGAGTCCCAAAAAATATTGATTACAAAGATATTCTCATCTATATTAAAATAACCAGAGCTCAGATATCAAATAGAAAAAAAATGCAAAATTGTTTTTTGCGTTTTTCTCAAAACTCAAAATTGTGAAATCCGGCGATATTGCAAACATCGGTCTGTTTTAGTCAATACCAACGCAATTAAGAATTGTCGATGTTTTCGGATTTTCTGATCATTTGTTTTTGGTGAATACATTTTCATAGCAGTGGAGAGATCTGTTTTGTTAAGCCAATCTGCGATCTCTGAAGCGCATGATCCATAGAGAAGTAATAATTGGAGTTGGAAATGCGAAAATTTGAAGAAAGAATTGAAAAACGAAGTAGTTACTTGGTGGAGTACCAGCAAGGTTTCTTGTATTTTTATTTTGACAAGTGGAATGATAAACCTTACAATCTCCAACATTATAAATTTGGCGTGCGCAGGAAATAAGACATCTATCCAGCCGGTCGGATATTTCGTTAACTATCGAACAGTCTTGTGATGAAGGTCACGTGTAAACAAATGATATAAATGAAGTATATATATATATCAGAGCAATTTCACACTGAAGAACAACTATGGATATTTAGCAAAATCGTAAGCATATGCAAGAGCAGTGGCGTAGCATCCACCCCCGCAACCCCCGCGGTCGCGGGAGTGCCCACAGCGCAAAGGGGCCCAAGCGGTTAGAATTTAGAATGTTGAGCCGCGAACTAAAAGCTACAGTGCAAAACAAGTAATGCACATCTTATAACGTTGATGTTAGTTCTGCTCAAATCGTTTTGTTACGTAACAATGCCAGGGAGTCGTCGATTTTCGGCGTATTGTGGTTTGATCGCACCGGCAAAATTGCGGAGGCTGTCAGAATGATGTCAAAAGCAAAACCTCCCAGTGGCGCACAGAAACGCAGAAAAGGGCAGAAGAGGAAGAAAGTTTGAAAAAAATTGAAGTAACCAAGATAAACGGCAAATTTTAGGTTACCATTGCCTTTTTTTAGCGACATGTTATGCCTTTTGACAAAATAAAAAAAAGCGTTGTTTTAGCTCATGTCCAAGAGTTTGTAGGGTCATTTCCACGAAATATTTTTGCGGGGGGGATGGGGCACGAGAGTCTTGCTACGCCACTGTGCAAGAGCTGTCCTTTTTATTAAGCGACTAAGAATATTCCAAGCTACACTTATATGTCCACCAAAATTCTTTGAAAAACGTCCCACTGCACCCCACTGGTGGGGACATCCTGGTACACAATCAACGAAATATGCCGGTAAAAATTAGTAAAGATAAGCATCATCACCTAAAGAACTGCGGGCATTCAAATGTAAAGATTTATTCTTTTGAATTCAATGTTCAACCAAAATATTTCAAAGCTTTTTTCAAAAAAATTTGAAAACTAAACATCCACATTGGCAAAGTTTCATCACTTTAGCGGCAACATACGTATCTAAAAAATCTGCCGTTATAGAAACATTTGTTGTATATTTTTGAATCTTGTTAGCAAATCTGAAATAAATTCATCGTCTTACCTTCGGATTATGCCATCAATTGAAACTGAGTTCTGAAACTTCCATTTCCTATAATGGCCATAAAGAGACAAAAAGAGTTAAAAACACCATAAACATCAATTGAGAATGTTTAGTGCTCGATAAGAACAAAAATGTTCACTGCGTCCAATATTACACAAACATAACGCATCGCTATGACTCCAACCACTCAATGAACAAAACACAAATCGTGTCCAGGGGAGAATGTCCCATTTTGTCATCGAATTCGGTCCATTCCCCATGTGCACCAAGCATTTTCAGACTGCTCCATGTCAAGATTAGCAAGACCCATCCACTCGCCAACGTTATAAATATTTTAACAGTGAACTAAAGCTAAAATATTCCAGACAGTCGTTTGTCCTGTTGGAAAGGCCAAAGCAGAAAAAAAGACTGAGAGGGAGAAATTCATGTTTCAATCAACAAAACCCAATTCCATCTCATATCTTGCGTGGCTCTGCACGACCGTTGTTCATTTGTATAAACGTCACCATCGTAAAACTAACGTGTTTACCGTCAGATTCTTTCACTTCTATTATAAAAGTATATGTTAAACGCAGTTTTTCTATACCGTTATGTTTAAATTTAATTTTTCAAAATGCAAGCAGCCACGGAATACGTTCGTAAGTGGTATAGGCTACAGTTGAGTGAAACTTTGGGAATCCTACATATAAACAGAGTGATTAGAGAACCAGATCTCAACCAGTGTTCCCTGATCCACTTCTGGGCCACAGAAACACTTTCATATGGGCCACAGACCTATCGAAAATTGCCAGAGTTGTAGATAAATTGATAAACTTTAATTGTTATAACAATGAATGCTGCTTTTTTGGCTCAGAGTTGTAATTCTCATTTTAATTAATAAAGTCGAAGTGTCTATCTTTGAAAAAGAATTTTTGTTTTTGTTGCAGTTCTTCCCTTGCATGAGAAAGATAATAGGCCACCGAATTTTTTGTACAACAAAAGTGATCCACGAAGGAAAAAAGGTAGAGAATCACTGGACTATGGTGATGTCATCTTTGCATATCTACTCCGGTAATCGTTGTAAATGAGTGACGTTATAAATTAAAATCATTATTGTATTCACTCCGGGCGTAGATTTCAATTCGGGCGGACTAGTATGCTAACTTGTAGTACCTGATAACCAAAAGAAAGGGTTGACTTTGTATAATTCGAGGCATCAATTGAGATAGGCAAAGAACATTCACCAAGTTTGTACATCATCATTTTGGACTATGCTGGGTCAAGCACTTCTGTATGTTGACGCTTGGTATTTCACTTTCGCCAAGGTGAACTTGGTAATTTCAGTCGGTTAATATTATTTTGAACAAA